AAGGATTGCTTAGCGGTGAGACATGTGTGTTATTAACTTAATACGCCCATAATTACAGGAGTATTGAATTATCAGTGCTAGTGAAACTCGGGATTGTCTACACCAATAAATGCGCTATGACGCTGACATGCGTCGTGTTTTGGTTCTCCCTTGCCGCAGACGTTCTGGTTAATTTGGACCCCATTTTCGCCCCCTCTAATACTCTCTTGGTAATAAAGTGGTATTTTCACATTTGACTGTGTGATATTGCATGGGCCCTCGAAGCAAACTTCTGAAAGTGCCCTTTTCGTAATGGTCACTTTTGACTAGGGCGATGCTGATTGTACGCGTCTACCTTAGCGCGCTCTGACCTGCAATTGGCTGTGTTTGTATAAAAGCTGAAAGGGGGCTATGCACTGATTGGCTGGGGGTTGTGAAAATAGGCGCTAATTAAAGCGTCGTCTTCATTTTGATTTGTTGGTGTTATTTTGACTAATGCCATCCTAAACCTGGCTTATATTGGCTGTTGATTGGTTTATCTGTATGTTTTCCTAGCTTCTTCTCTAGCATTTAATAAATTTAACTTGGGTTTGTTGCCTTGGAAATTGTTTCTGACTTCGAACTTTTTGCCACGATTCCAAAAATATGGCATATTAAGTCAGTTTGTAGTCCTTCAACAACCAGAAAATAAATTCCCATTGGGTTCGGAAGCCGTTCTTGATAATGTTAGTGGAGTCTCTGAGTTGTAATGAATTATTGCCTGTTCCTGGAAAGATTTAGGTGTACATTCAAAATTTGTTAATAGCTTTCTGAACCTGCATACCTTTTTTTTAGCTCAATCTTTAAGTTTATCAAGTTCGCTAGCACCCAAAAGTGCAACCGTAGCATACAAAGCGGTCTTCTTGTGATTGTTGATTTTCTATACACCGGAGGAGTTAGGCTCATTTACCCGAAATACTTGACATCATTTATGTTTATTGCGAATGACGGCCACTTCTTTTGGCTTGATGCCCTGTTCTCAAATCTTCACATTTACCCGCCTTTTTAATGCGTGCTTGAATGTTCGAGAGGTATTGGCCTTCACCACTCCCACGAACAATTTCTTCGAGTTCACTTAGTGCCCCAAATCACGCGGCCTTGCTTGCCATGCCTTTCCAGTGGCGTGTTCTGGTGACGTTAAGTTGTCTGGGGGGGCTGTTTTGGTGACGCCAAGGCGCACAAGCCGCATGGCAATTTCGAAAGAGAGGCTTCATTTACTTCTATTGAATAATACTTCCTGATGCACCAAGCGCTTTTTTCCTTTGGACTCAACAAAGCACTGAACAGCCTGTTGTTTGAACAGTTTTGGTACCTAATGACCGCTTACTTCTTTATGTCAAAACTTCTGGAAGCAGTTTTATTCACGCACATACTACCTCCGATTTTCTAAAATGCACCGGGTAATAATCATGTTTTGCAGGTATTGTGTGATAGACCTCATGCTTTTTGGCTATATTAGGGTGTATCCTCAGTATTCGTACTCAATAGGACTGTAACTTGGTGTGTAGAATCTCTTTTGGATTGATATGCTAGAAGTTCAGGTGCACGCGGCAAGGAGCATTAAGGATTAGCTAATCACGGCGCCCTTCAGAATTGTCGTCGAATCGAGAATCTATCGTTTCCCATTTCGTTGCCTTTTAAGCCTGATGCCGATACCTCCTTCGAGGTATCGAAGTGTGATTGAGTTAATTCCGCATGCAGTTAAACTGAAGTCATTTTGGGGTGGTTATGCATTTGAACATTTGCTGAAGCTCCTGTGGATTTATTCATTGAAAGATGTAAAATTAAATGGGGAATTGTCCAAAAGGCAATTGATCTAAACCTTTAATTTTGAACATTTCCTTTTGGCATATTTGTGGACCGAACTACTGATTGACGCATCAGCAGCATTCGATACCATTACGTTGACTTTTTTCATAACCCTGAGATTTCATATTTGGCAGACACGGTCAGCGTTTTCAGTTAGTTACTGACATGTGGCCGGAATTTGTAACACCAGTTTTTGTTCAATCAACATCATGAATGCAAATCTTACACATGCGTACAGTTTATTCGAAGGTTTGATTTGTTTAGTCAAGCACCTCTTATTTTGATTTTCATTGCTTTAACATTCATTTTTTTTCTTAAAAATTTAAGTCAAATCGCTTCTAAAAGTACATTTAATTCCGGATTACGCTTGCAACTGTAGTGCAGCTCAGTAAGTTCACTTCCAAGATTTTTATGGTAAAAGCAACAGTCCCGAAACCCTGTGTTTACCCGCTTGAAAAGAACCGCCATAAAATCTGGAACGAATATTGTTGTGGCTCTTAGCAGTCTCCTTATTTTCGTGCATCCGACGTCTTTATTAAGGTTTCTCAATGTTTCATTGTTTTTGTCATTTTTGGTAGTTGTATGTACAACGAGGCCAAAATATTTTGGTCTTGATTCAACGTTGTTTTATAAGTCCTAGAGATGTTGGATAAAAAATGCAGGTCCGTCTATATGTGTCTGCACGTCGTAATAAAACTCGGATATAAATCGAGATTCACTTTCGAGGAGTCAATTTTTTGTGGGTGTAACTGGCTTTTCTATACACCGCACACAACACATAGGAACTTTCATTTAAGAATATTTCAGTCAAAAAGTGTTTTAGAATCGTCCCCAGTCTGACTTGCTCAATTCGTTTAAGTTTGTTCTCCTAAACAGTCACTCGTGTTGCTGGGGCTCGTCGGTGTGAAAAGGAAACTTAGTGGTGGCCGCTCTGATTCCTAAAAACTTCAGCGTCATCAATCCCACATTCAATCTTCAAGGTCATCCACGCAAGCTTTTAGTTGAACGCTTAGTTTTTATTGGCTTGTTGGGCGGCAAGTTGTAGACACAATCACGCGTGTGTACACTAGAGGAAACCAAAAGCCTTTCTGTGTTTACCTCTGGCTGAAACGCCACCTTGCAGATTCTGCAGCAACTTCATTCAATGGCCCTGATGGAATGAGTTGTCAAGATATGCCCCTTTTAGTTAACGACAGTTGACTAGGCTAGTCTTCATAGGAAAATGACGAATTTCCATGTCGTCTGCGTCTTTTAACAAAAAAAAATGCTTCTCGAGATCAATAAATCAGTGTAAATTGCCTTTAAATATGTCCAGCTGAAAATAAACATGCCTTGAATGCACCACTGAGTAGAATATCGCGCAGAATAAATAATTGTAAAACCCCTGAAATGCCTCGTCTTATATATGTGCTGCAAGGGAAGTTTTTTTGCTTTGGGATGCATTTAGGTATCATTAACTTCGGACTATTCAATAAGCCATTAATTACGGAAAACACAAATCTGATAATTTGCCTTGTTACCAGTCCTGTCTGATTTTCAATTCAGTCCAGTTGGAACGGATTAAATAACACTTCCAATGACGTAGGGAGTTGTAGTAGCTCGGTGAAGAGAGTTGGATTTTCGTAAGCGGAGGTGAACATTATAGTATTGCGTTTCGCCTCCAAAGGCGTCAAATGGTTTGACATCGAGAAAGTGCCCTTTCGGGTTTTGAAAGCGCTTTGAAGCACATGGCAAATCGGTCTATTTGGAGGAACTTTCCTAACACTTGAACTTCAAACGCCCCAATGTTGCAGGGTTATTTCCTCCTACGGCATTTCGGTTTATGGCTAGGAGCATTGTCTTGAAGTGTCAGCCAGCACACACTGCCTGTTTCGACGGCCGACTTTGTCAGTGTTGAGGCTACCGTTAAAAAACCTAGACATTGATGGCCATCGAAACCATGCACGCTTTGTTGCTCAAATGTACACACCAATTCGGTGACCTTGTTGGAATGATTTCGCCCAAAATCATTTCCTTGTTGATGCTTGTTTGTGGGTCCCCAAGTGTCATCTAGCCCGAGTAGTAACATGACGTGTGACCACCTGCAGGATTTTGAGCTGATGTTAACCTTTCTATTTTTTCGGCTAAATAATAAATAGGGCCATCCGTTTACATTCGTTGTCTTCGTGTGTTTTCTGTTGGCCACTCTAGTAAGCTGGGGAAGCCTTCGTGTTAAGCGGCTGCAGATGTTGCGAATCAAATAAGACTGACCACGTGGCGAGTTTTTTTGCTGTTGGTCTCTTTCCATACCGTGAAATGAGAGCCAGTGTGCCACAAGAGAACAATCAGTCCCGTTTACATTCGCTCACCCCAAGCATACTTTTTATTGCATTGCAACCTTTCTAACCAAGTTGCCAACACATTATCGTATTTCTGCGCGGCTTCCAAATATGAGTGATTCCACTGTGGATGTGATTTCTATGCGTGATGAAGTGTCAAAGCGATAATAGATTTTAACAAAATCTTATATTCTATTATTTCTATGCTTATTTGAGTAGTAATGTTATAATCTTAAATTATTATAACATCAACTGTTTTAGCCAACTAACCAGCCATTATCTATATATTCCCCTGTTTCGTTTAGCTACTACCTAACTTAGCGGGAGTTACTTGCATCTAGTGCTGCTTGAATTGACAGCTGCCATGGTGTCACAGATTATTGTTAACGTATAACACAAATATCCTGAAGTTTATTATATCGACTACACCGCCCATATATTGCTGCCGCGCTTTAAGAGCACGGGGCAGTGGCTACCGATGCACCAGTGTGCAAGTTGCAGCTTCATTTTCGCAAACCATTCCGATGCTAAAGGTTCCGATGTATGAGGCTTCAGACAGACTTCGTTGCGTCATGGGCCCTATGCTCCGTGCAGTTAACTGCATTTAAAATTCGTCACTTCCCGTGAAATACAGACAATTTTAGGGCCAAGTGAATGGGCCAGAGAACACCACAGGCACTTTAAGCAAGGTAAAAGCATTGTGTTTAACGTCTTGTGAAACACCATTAGTTTGCACTGGACCAACGCCGCGAGACCAATGCATATGTTTAAAGATTAAAGGATTGTCATCAAAAAAGAGTTGACACCTATTTCAATTTTAAAATAGTGTATGTAGTATTTAATTAGGTGATGCTAATGTGCCTAAGTCGAAATTACCGGGCAGAGTGTCCCTCAGGAATCGGTTAGTTTTAGATTGTATCGATTTTCAAGCATGCCGTCTCCTTATATGTACCAATGCCACTAATTTACGTGGCACATTTTTTTGTTTTAGACTCACCTGGGCCAAGCAGCCAATTTGCTCAGACGCCAAAAACATATGGAAAGCAACCTTCTCACTACCCCACACCCTCAATCCAGTCTTCGCGACCGCCCTCGATTCCCTCAACTACGTCTTTTCAAGAGGCTTTGCAGATGCTATACCAAAAACACCCGCTTCCTTCCAGGCCACTCCTGTCGAATCCCTTCCCGATGCTGCCAACCCACATGCTCCGGGGGGGACCCAGGAAGCGATTTTCCACAGACGACGTGGAGGGCCCTAGTCGAGGTACCATTGCGGGAGGACAGTCGTTCCCAAGGCGGCAGTCCGAGTCTGGGTTGTATCGGCTTGCAGAGCGGATGCAACGACAGCCGCCTGGGGGCCAAGGGTCGCTGAAAAGGGTAAGGTCGGAGCAACAGGATGTGCCCTTCTCAATGCTCGGGCAGCATCACTCAACCACGGCCTCCAGTGGACAACCTTTTGCGCTAACGATGGTACTCGGTGAACAAGTAAGACATTTCCATTTCAAAAAAAAAATTTGCTTCATTTCTGATCGGGTGTACCAGGATTCCATTAAACTATCAAGTAAGTTGACCATAGCGTCCTGCGTATAAAGGTTGCAACGAGTGGTTATTTGGCTTGAGCTTATCGTTTGTTGGGTGGTTCTGTCGGCAAGGCTTGCCAGCACCTCGATTTAGCCTCTTTCAGGGCACAACAGTGTGATAAGATTTTCTTTGGACGTTTGGAATAAGAGTCGGCAACAGTGAGACCACAATCCAACTAATTTTTTGCTGTTACACCTTAACATAATTAAAGGTAATTGATGTGTGCATCCAAGCCAATGAGGAATCGAGGAATCGCTTGTCTTCAGCCTCATGTTGAGTGTAGTAACGTTTTAATATTGAGTTCTAGTCATCTTCAAAATGCTGTTTCACAGGATATTCGCAGCACACCACCCACACTCCAATCCTTGGCTCTTAACTCCATTCAGTCCACTCCAATCGGAAAACTCAACAGGAGGTGTATTCTCCTTAGTTTCTCGTCTCTTCAAATTGGTTCCGGTTGATGGGGTAGTTGATGTCATCACTTAGCCCGAGTTCAGCCAAGCCACGCCGCATTCGCGCACATTATCGTTGACTGGCAGTTGACGGAATGAAGTTGTACAGGATGGCGAAATTACCCAAGCACGCCATTCATCTCTGGTGTTCCTCTTCACATGTTTGCGCATTTGAATTTTATGGATTTTTGTTAGGCCATTGCCCCTTAGTGTTGACAGTCCATCGGCAGTTATTGATAGATAACACATGGAAGCAGCCTGCCTCCTAAGGCGATACTTCCCGCACTTTTACATGATTTACACGCAGCGTGTGCCTCCGATTGAAGCACTGTGTGTGTGCGTGTGTGCACCCAGCCCCAATGTTAGCCAGCGCGCTAATGCCCCCTGCACACCTGGATCTTAGACTTGGGGGGAGGGGAGCAGAAAATGCTTAACTTGCGCGGGGTTCGGAATCTTGCCAACACGCACGTGCGCTTCTGCTTGGGCAACCTTTTTTTAGCGGGTAAAACCAGTCTGTGGCCCTGGCGTGGTGTTCTCTTGTTTGTCGCTTGCACGTTGACAACTTTTGTGGACGTGGTCGGAAACAAAGTCTGAATTGAAATCCCAACGGCTTCATTTGTCGCGTAAGTGCTCAATGCAACTCCATATTCCAGAAATTTTAGGTGAATTCGGATTAACATTCTAAGCCTAAAAATCGGTACTCTCATGCCCAATATAAGCGACCGAAAAATGTTTCTACACTGAAAGACGGGAATTGGCCTTAAGGGGCAGCCACGGTCGCCTGAATGATACTTGGTTGGTTGAATATCCGGTACCTTCACCTGAAGGCATCGGGGTTGCACCAATTTCTCTTTTATCGTGCTTTACGTAAACAGGCTCTTTGACAGGTATTCATAAAACACGCTTATTTGTTAAAGGGAAATTGTAAAAAAGGGGCCGATGGCTGAGTAGTTTGAGTGTCACTTTTATGAAATAGGATGCACTTGTAATTGCTACAATAACGAACATAAGGACCCTTTGGATCGTCAATTACTGGATTGGCTTTATGAGGACTTCGTTGCATCAATGCACCTGTGCAGTCGGACTTCCACGCTCAAGGGCACTGAGTCGCGATCGCAAATATGCACGTAAACCACCGCCTGCCTTTTGAGAGCCTCAAAAGTGGATTTCGGCATTTGGTGAGTTAGAGAGCCCCAGAAAGACCTCCTGCGTAAATAAAGAGGGCCGTTTTGAGTGTTTTCGTGATACAGCTTGGATTTCAAATACCTTAATCGGTATGTCAAAATGAACCTGTGGCGAACCCCACGAATTATGAATACCGTGTCCTAAAAATGTAGACCTGCATTTCGTGTCTACTATACCTAAAGCTTCATGTTTAACACGAGTAAAGCAATAAAATCACATGAGGATAATTAGCTTGCCCCTAGCAACGCTTGCCGGAGTTTTGGTTTATCTGAGAAATAAAAGTTGTGGATGCAATTAGAGGACATTCTAGGCTGAACTATCTCCTTGCTTAAACTGTGTGCTGCCCACTCACGCAATCACCATAGCTATTTCCAGTCTTGTTCATGCCTTCGTTTATTATAATTAGTGTCTAGAAGTTCGCTGACGCAACTGATTTAAAGGAATCTGACCCCCAGGCAACTTCGTGTGTGTGCGTATGCTTGACTGCTGAAAACTTGTTCCCATACTTTGTCCACAGCTGCGGGTCACATTTGTGCTGTTTTTGTCATTCGCTTTTTACACAGACCGTGATTTAGGCCTTTTCTTTTATTATAACGACGCGTCTACCGGCGAAGGATAAAATCAGTGGTCTGCTCACTGATTTTTTCTTCTAAATTTCTTACTCTTACGTGTTCGCTGGTGTTTTCAAATGTTCCAAGTTCATCATCTTAAAAAAATCCATCAAAACTAAACAGCCTTAGATTTTGTATCGGCTACTCATAGAAATTGTTGTCTTTTCTCAAACTGCCCATTTTTGCCTGATCGGATACGAGAAGGCTGTTGCTGGCTATCGCATTTGCCTCATCCACGTCCAAACCCATCCCACCTACTCAGGGATGTGGTTGAGGCTTGAAGCAGTTAACCAATCTAAATCTCTCAAATCAGCTCTTTGATTAATTAGCGATGGACTACGGTCACTGGGCTTGTTCTACTTTTAAAAACATTTGTATGAAAACAAAAATCTAGTTGCGTTTTCTTGAATGCCTTAAGAGGCTCCAATTGTGATTTTTGTTTGAACCTAAGCCATCATGGACAAGTCGATTTCAACGTTGTAAGTCAAAATCCAGTGTTGGTTCAGGCCATTGCATACACGTTCATGCCATTGCCTCATCTTCTAATTTTGGTCAGCTATTGAGGTCTTAAACTACAACGTACCACACGGAGTAACAAGGGACGGTGTGAACTGCAGTTTGAAGAACTTAAATAAAACTCTGGATCGAGCTTGCTAGCCGATTCCATCGTGTGTATGCGGTACGAAAAACATCATGGACGACAACAAATCACTATGAACTGGAGAAATCCCAGTAAGCGAACAGAAACGTTTCAGTGCCCCTGAATGCTCAGACTGGAATGCTCAGACTGGAATGCTCAAGTTGTTCAGTTACTAGCCAGGTGGTAATCGGCAATTATGATGTCCCTAGTGGTTAGTAAGCCTTTTAGTTAAGGGCCTTAACGTGAAAACACGATGCAATCGGGTTCGGACTTCATAATCCTCTGCTGCTACCTACCAGCAAAATTGCCGACTGTTATCCACTTAGGCGGCTCTTATCAATCAATAAGAAACATTACCTGCAGAGGAATCTGCTCGATTAGGCCGTTCTGAGGATTCATTGAATAAGCATCCAGTGCGTTCCGAGGTAGCCTTTGTTGGACTACTTCGTCTTAGCTTGTCGGTGCCGCAGACACGAGCACATCTAGACCTCGTTTATAATGTCTCGACTTACCGGCTAAAAGGTCCCTCATTATTTTAAATGTGCACAAGAGCGAGACAGAACTTAATGTGAAACGACTTTCATTAAATCCTTATACGATTTGTCGTCGTTATCGGTAGTGGTGAGCATTCCAAAAATACACAAACTTTGGGTTAATATGACCTCGAATCTGCCATTCATCTAGCACATGTCAGCAGTTGATTTCCATGTAACATGGCAAACGATCGATATTTTGTTTACACTAAATCATTAGTTGGTAATTTCTTCATTAAGGCAAAGAGCCGCAGTTTTGAATATTGTCCCAAAAAATTACGTTCACATATTGTCACCCAATTAACTTAACAATGCTCTCCTGAAGGGCAATGCTGACCGTCGCTTAGTGATGGTGAGCTTATCTGTTGTCCGATGCTTTACGGGCAATTTAACACTTTACAATTCATTAGGTTGGCTGCTTGCGTCACTTTGGCAAGGATGGAGAACTAATTCCACGGCGGACTAACGAAGTCGCGATATCGTGGATATTCATGGTAGATAGTAAATTTTCAAGAAATGGGATTGTCGTTTTCTTGTTATTTAGACCAGTCACCAGTGTGTGAGAAATATCTAGGGCACCCAGGAAGTTGGCTTCTTTTGCCTCATAGAGATCACCTCTAAATGTAAAAACACGGGGCAAGGGATGCCGTAGGTTGTGATTCATCCTGTGGACGTGTGTCTTAAAGTCTTGCTGAGAATGGGGCTGAAATCCCACTGGCTGTGACCATTCTACTTTCTGGCGATCTGAAATTTGAATTCTGGTGAAAATGGTGTAATCATCCGTGTCCGAGTTCACCATGAAGTGTTTGGCCTATTATGGGGCGATTTAGTTTTCAACTGACCGGAACCGGCAAATAACTGTCGGTCAACGCTCCCAACATGCATGATGCACACTACTTGTTGTCACAAAGTTCTCAACCAAATATGGAAATTTCATTCAAAGCAACATACCAAATAAACAGTTCTCTATGATATCGGTTTGGAATGTTTAAGGAAAACACGAGGCAATGGTTAGTCACATGTCTTCCTGAGTGACATCTCTGTTTGCTGCCACAGCAATATTCTCAAATTGTCAAAAAATGCCAAGCTCGTGTGAAAAAATGGTGTTTTGTTAATCACCAATCCATACATCATCGCTTACTAGCCTGGTCACTGCGTTGTACATAATAACTATAAAACCAGGTGGATAAAATCCTTTTGAGAGTAACCGTCGGGTCTTTAACTTTCCCATCGAAAATGACCCAGTGTTTAATTGGGCACGCGAAGAATTTTACAAAACTCTAACCTGACCAAAGAAAAAAGGATCTACTAAAGTTCTTTATTCAGTCTCTGTATCGAAATAGGATAAAGGGAATTATTCTTTGGTTGTAACCAGTTTATTATAACGTGTGATGAGTTTGGTGGTGTGCTTTGGGTACACGGGTATCTAATTGTCGTAAAAACGGTTGTTAATCTAAAAACAAATATGTTGTGTTTGATATAGACAGTTTCCATTTATAAAAGATGCCGTGAATTATTATATGCCTCTGTCGATGTCTAAATCGTTAAACTAACTTTTATGCTAATGGGGTTTCCATTTGCAGTGTAAAGATAAATAAAGGACAGTTGATATGTGCTACTACATAATGGCCAGCTTGATAAGCAGTTTTAAATGGTCTTTTATAGGCACCGGTGACCAACCCAGAGCAACTAGCGCGAAACATCTTCATCCCACTGCTCAATCCATCACAGGCTTTTCAGACCACCACCGCCACAGCGCCCTCTTCATCTCCTTCCCACCATCATCATCCTCGCACTCCGGCGTTGGATCTTCTCCTCATGACTGAAGGAGAAGCGCGTCAACTCTCGGAGACTATGCTTGCTGGCTCAAGCGGTGTTTCTCATACTCCCTCCGAGCGACTCTCGAATCTGCCTGCCGGCTTGTCCTCGGCCCTGCGCAGCTACCCCTCCGCACCCAGCACCTCTGATGAGACGTGCACACCGCAAGTCATCCCATTTACCGGCGCTCCAGTGGACGTAACCCCGACCACACAGTCTCGAACAGGTCCGATTTCTGCAGACACGAACTTCCCATCGGCTTCTGAGCTTCAGACAAGTTTTCGACGTTCTGAGGCTGCAAAGTGCCGCCGTGTGTACGGTGCGGTGAACAAAAGCCGGTGGTGTAAGCAGTGTAGGTGGAAGAAAGCCTGCACGCGATTCCAAGGTCCTCCCCACAAAAATGATCCCTCAAATCAAACTTGAAATGAAAGACTTTAGCGCTATTCTCAAAGTGCCAATTATTCAATACCACAAGCACCTGCACAGCCATCAACTGCTCTTTTAAACTCAAATCTTGCGCCTTTTTATGTCTTTCAAAAACAAGATACCCTTTTCCCCATTACCTTCCCTCTTGAGTCTCCTCTAGTCATTTAAACATTTGTACTAAAACCACACTACAGAATTTCCTGAGTTACACCCACAATGTAAACCAAAAATTTGTTCTATCCATGTGAATTTTTCGCGTTCTAAAAGCCCCAGGCAGCATGGCTCGCACACCACGTACACAGCGCGCACACACACGTTCCCATTAACAGTACTAATTAAAATCTAGGCCTTCTTGTCGCCCGTTACCCATTTTCTTCCACTCTATCTTTTACACTTGTGTCCGTGTATACCTGTGGAGCCAAGATAGATTAATCCTCGCTATTTAATTATATACAGCCTTTTCTTATATTAGACCACCTCTCCCCCCTAAATGTCTATAGCTACTTCGTCAACACTATGGCCGTGTGAAGTTATGTGACCCTGTCGCCTGCTCATTGGACCGTTGCCCGTTTATTTTTCCAGCATGTTGAACAGTTATACAAGCAACAACCAAAAAATGTCTTTATAACCCAACTCGAACATTCAAACAATCTACAATGCGCTTTCATTTGGAGACCCACACACGCAACCATGCCAATGGACAGAATTTACTGGAACCAAAAGCAACGAACTTGCATGCCAAAGACTCCCAATCCCTACTGTTTGCCCTTATATGTCCCCTCACTTTCCCAGATTAAGTTAAAGAGCTTCAAAGAATTCATTCTTATCGTTTTTTTCGGTACGCAACCCTCATGCCGGTGGATTCGCCACTAAGAAAGTAACTATATCTTCCCCAGGCGTTTTCATTTTTTGTGTACATCTAGGTTTCGCATTGTACAACGGAAGCTACCAAGTCGGTCGTGTTTGCTTTTCTTTCCGTGTTTCTGCACCTCCTCTCCTTAAAACATCCTCATTTTTGAGTGGAAGGTTGTTTTGGGCATTCCTTCTGCGTATTTCCCCAAACTCTATCGTCTGTGTCGATTGCAACATAGCACATCATTGGTCCGATTTATTCTTGTGTAAATGTATTCCCGACCTTCTCCTTAAGTAACCCCTTTTCTCAACATTACAAGGAAAGACACCCCTAATACCACCAGATGTGCGTTTCCTCTCCATTTACTAACCCACTATCCCCATTCGCCCACTCTCACTAGGATCTTTTACATATATACCGAAGTACGGTTTACATCGAATGTGTTCTGAATGCTAGTAGTATCTATGCGCTACTTTTGCGTTCGCCTCAAGCACCAGATCAACGCACATAAGGTTTGGTGGGACGTTACATGACTTAGGAGACAACGGTTGAGTTTTTAAATATCAACGATAGTCAGTTGAAGATGTATCAGGTGGGAGCGCTGGCGGTCTTGCAGGTCGCTGTGATGTGTGAGGAGTCGCAACGGCGCGTCCGGCGTGTTCGCCGCTCAGCCAACCCTTGAACCCCAATATTCTGGCCCCAAAAGTTTCGGCTTCGTTTGCGCTTTATGATAATCTCCCTGGTTTGATTACATATGAGGCACCATTTAGGGTTGTCGTCGTTCCATCCAACTGCCACTTCTTCAAAAAAATACCTGCGATGTGGGTTAGTCTAATTAACTTGACAACGTTTACATTTTGAGCTGAGGAAAGCATACTTTACTTAGGTATGTTGTCTTGCACTAAAAAACACAAAACCCTGGAATGATTGCGTTGAACTTACTTGTGGCCCCATCAGCTTACACCAGGAGAACAGGTTGATCGTGTTTACCAAACCAAAAGTATTAAAGAACATAAAAACGACTTATTTTGTTCGTGCACCAGTTACAAAAGCACCCGAATAGTCCATGACGTTCACAGTTACCTGCCTGGCGGATCAGAGCTGCTACATTCTAGCCAACAAAAAGACTGGCGTCCATGGGAATAAGTTCATTTGTTTCATTTTTTCAGCTGATGCTGAATAGGTGAGTACAAATGGAAGTTATGGTACGGATTTTGCGGAATGAATGCCTTTTGCAGTGTCATGCGACAAGCGTTCATCGCATACCGTGCTGAAATTAAACTGAAAATTGTTTCATTTAAATGAATAACCTTTAAAAATATTTAGAAGTGTTACAAGCTCTTCCTCAAAATGCTTCACAAATTTGAAATCCTCCGCCTTTAGACCGCGGGCAGAATATGTGCATCCGCTAGGGGGCGACTGGAGGACAAAGGATTACGAAGATTGTCAACGCGCATGCAACAGCCAGTGAGCAAATGTGAGCTAGTGTGAATAACATATAAAACAAGGACGGCAGCCAACACCTCGATTTATACTGTTATTGTTAGTAGTATAAGGGGTCAGGAAGAAAATGTAACGTACATAACGCATTACAAAAATTATATGCTAAGACGTGAGAAACCGTGTTAGTCCGTTAGGTTTCAGTAAAAACCAAATGCTAAAAAGCCCTATATTCCTGAGAATGAGCATATATTCTCACGGCTGTATGCTTTTTAATGATGAGTCGTATCTTACAAAAATATTACGTGTACGACCTAACTTTTAGATTTTTTCTTCGAGCTTAAAATAACCTTTAAAATAGAAATACTTCCTTGTTCTTTTGTGGTTTTGAAAGGATTGGACGCATGACCTCTCAGAACAGAAGAGCTTACGGTGGTAATTGATAAACAACACATTTAGCACTGCATTTTGTGGGGGTTCCGAAAGGCAAATGTTTCTAAAGCACGGTAATCAACCTGTAGTGTTCCTGGTGCCGAAACTGTCTTATGAAACGCGCAATTATAAATACAAACGTTTTAGACACCGTGGTTTCGATCTCAGCGACAACCCGTGACCCGGACAGCAGACTCGAAAGTTTGAAGATGGGCAACTGCAAGCTCTACTGGAGGAAAACTCAATGCAAACACAGGAGCTTGCGGCTCAGTTAAGAGTCACCCAAACAGCTATTTCCAAGCGTTTTCACCAAATGGGAAAAATTCAAATTCTTGGAAGTTGGGTTCCAAATGTGTTTATTGAATATAACCTAGGTAAACATACGAACACGGGCCTTTCACTGCTTATCCGGCAAAATGGACTTATGGAAATTGTGGCAGATGAAAAGTATATTTTCTACAAGAATCCCAAACGCGAAAGTCGTGGATAGATCCCAGGCAACCCAGTAAATGGACGTTGAATCAGGATGCTCACTTGAAGAAGGTGCTCCTGTATATCTGGTGGGACATGAAGGGTGTACCTTATTTCGAACCCAGGAAACTGGTCATACGGTGACCGCGGAACGCTACAGGCGACAATTGAAAAATCTGAGCGAATAACCTAGTCAGAAAAGCCATCTACTGAGCGAGGAAGCAGGTAAGTCATACTGCTGCTGCATGCTGCTCGCGAGATTTAGAAGACCCACTTAAACTTGGGACGGGAACTTCGCCCACACGCGGCATGTTCAACATACATGGCCCTATCCGACGACCATTTGTTCCGGTCAATGTGGCACGCCTTAGTGAAAAAAAAGTTCAAAACGCTGGATAATGTGCATGAATTCGTCGAAGGCAGCTTAATTGCCTCGAATCTTGAACGCTTCTTCCGCGACGGCAATCGTACGTTACCTGAGAAATAGCGGAAGGTCATAGAAAAGACTTAATTTGCTGTTCTCTATTTTTTACATCAAATAAATTTGCTGAATATCTGCACAAATTAAGTCCGACATCTAGTAACGCATTCAAGATTCATGATAAATGCAGTAATAAAACAAAGCATAAATGGCGACATAGATTGGGATATTCAAATGACAAGCGTTTGAGTCTTAGTACACATAACTCTCTGTCGAGTTACTCTAATCTCCTCTAGTTACATCCTACTAAATTTCTGCAGAACTTTCGTAATTGATTGGAAAAGTGTTAATAATTTAAGATGGAAGAACACGAAGTTGATATTTCTCCAACTCATGACCCTCGTCGCAGACCTGATGGAAAACCAAGCAATCATTTGTTAGATTGACAAGTGAGGCTGCTATTGACATACCAATAACAAAGACGAACAAAAACTAGAGTTGCTGCTTTACGACTATCTAGAGCTTGAAGATCATATGCAACACCGATTGCGGTCTCAATTTTTGGTTTGGTTGGGTAGCAACGTGGAAATTGTTTTCAAAGGCAGATAAGCGTCCGGACAAATCGTAGGTTTTACTGTGAACCCAGACGCCGGGGTTCACCTAATTCTGAAGTGCTACATCGTTATTTACACAAGATTTGATCTGATTAACAATTTCCCTGCACCGATTCATCATGCGTGACGCATGTAAATAGGGCGATATACCCGCTGCACAAATGTCGCAAAAGTGGGTACATTCGAAGCCATTGCAAATTTGCATGTTTCTTACATACCGGCGCCAAAACAGATGACTGGACCAGAGCAAGCTAACTTCAGGCTGCAATCAATGAGACCACACGAATTCACATCAGCGGCGCCTTACGCGCTCATGCGAAAATTTCGCAAAACATCCGGTGCCTCCCATGCGATTAAAGCGTTCCATTAGACAGTTCCGGATGGTCGAAATTCCTACCTTAGTTGATGATCCAAATCCGAAGCACAAGGAATGAGTAACTCGGCTTTGTATTTCAGAGTGCTGTTTACAGTAATCTGCCAACTGTCCTACAGGAGACTGCCTAGTTGTAGCTCACTACGAGATTTCGCGCACGAAACTAAAGACGATGGCGTTGTAAGTTGAAGCGTGTTTAGGAACGCCACAATTCACACTCAATCCGGGTTTAGGGTCGGCATTCTCGGCTACAACCATGTCGGTCCAATCCGAGGGGCTTAACATTGATCTCGTACCAGTAAATAATTGGTTTCAAAATTGCGATACAATGTAAAGCCACTATCAGCAGGCACCTCCGACTTCCACTAAGACCTACCTGGCAAGTGTACATAACAAGGCAAATGAAGACATTGACATAAAAAACCCTGGTACACGTCCTCGGTGTTAATCGGGACCACGTAGGAATTTAGCGCACGCTGTGATAGAATGACGCTGGGAAGAATATAAGCGAACACACGATTGAAATATGAGCTTGAAACTAAAGCTGAAACAACTATCGCGGCCACGGAACGATTTAGAATTCCACTTCTAGCAAACTAAAAAGGGTCAGCAAGTTGGGTTGGGGCGGAACCAATCGCCAGTTAGTGACATTTCGGGCAAGCACACTTGATCCACCAAAGTGTATAGTCACCCCGGCTTTGCAAGGTTAATGCCGCCATAGTGTGGTGATAAAAACACGGCCACAGAGCTAGTGATCTGTATACAGGCGAACCCGGTACAATTAGACTTCAAAGTTTCTTTTGCGTCATCTACTAACGCAATGTAAGTTGAGGACGGCTACCACGTTCTTCATGAGGAGCTGCATTTCAAGACCCAATAAACCCCGAAATCCACCACAGTTCATGGCGGCATAAATCTCTGACGGCAGCCACGCACGCGTAGGCACCACGAAGGCTAACGATAAGGAGAAACACTGAGATTGCATGAAGGGGCTAACGAATTCAGGAATTCCGGCACCCAAATAAGTAGTGACTAATCTACGGACAAATTTAGAACGAAATTGACACCCGGGAATTCAGGCGGCCAGAGTAGTCGTAATAAAAAAACATTTGTTAAAAGCCGCCTGAGATTGAATTAAACTTACAGAAATCCGTCAATGTCAACAAACGGAAAAGCGGACATTGGGATTTTTCCTATAAATTATTCCGAGCGCAAACAATTACACCGAAATGCCCAAACGAGATTTAAAAGTAAAACCTTCAGTTCAAACCAATTTATAAATATACAAACCATAAAACAGTGTGTGCATTCTTTGAAACACGTACGCCAGCAAGGATCCTTAATCAGGTTGACAGGTACTACAATGTTCTGAATAAAATGAATTAAATTCTTACCATGATGGCGTTCACGATATCATTGTTATTCTTTCGGAGGGCATTGATCGCCCTAGAGCGAGATACGTTAGCCTGTTCCATAATAAGCTCAATATCTTTTGCTTCAAGACCAGTGTCGTCGACTTCCTCATCTTCAGATTCTTCAGCAATCGGTGACTTAGACACGGGTTCATTCTCCTTAGATAACGGGGCATCCTTGCCAGCTCCAGCGAGGGTCTGTGAACGCAGCTTTTCGACGGCAGCGGCCTGAGCTTGTGTGGACATGTCCTCAATTTTGGCTTCGCCAAATATTATGTAAGTGTCCACATTAGGAGCCTTGAAGACCTCCGCATTGCTGATCACAAACATTATAGCCTTTGCTTTTCGAATAGTCACACGACAGATGCCACCAACTGGCTTAAGGTTCAATTTTGACATCGCTTTACGAGCTTTCTTCTCACTGCGGGATTGTTTACTAGTATTGTCATCTCCAGCATCTGGTTTCCTGCCTTCAGTTAAGTCGGGGGCTTCATCAGACTCTGAGGGAGACGAGGAAGCTTCTTCTGTCTTTTTTTCGGCTGCTACAGGCTCTCTTTGGTTCTTCTTTTTTTGACTACTTTTATTCGACGGAGTCGCTGCAGCCATTATCTACGAGGCAAATCCAGCTAATGAAATTACAGTCACGACAGATGCGATTCAAGCGCTCCGCAAGACTGCTTGCACGACAATCTAAAACAACATTATTATTAACTTAAAAAAAATAGCCACTGTCACCCATTTTATATGAACTCAAAAAAATTTTTAAGACATTAAATTAGGCTGTGCAAAGTACTGAACACATCTTTCCAAATTACGTAAAATGACTCCAGGCGCATTTCTAAAAACGTTCAAGTTTTATTTACGTTTCGGCTAAATTTTTTTGATTTAAATGTCATCGATTTTGTCAAAGATGACTTAATTTAATGTGGTCACTGATACTCCTAAGTTATTAAAATTTTAGAAGGGAACCTTTGCTTTACGTGATTTCAATGTCCGAAGGCTTGAGAAAACACGTATCTTATTTTTAACGGAGAGGTATATCGTCACATTATATAACACTTGGTCTCTAGGAAAAAACTTATCAAATACACAAACTGAGTTTCCATAGTTTGTCCAGAACCGATCTGAGTATGTTAACAATCGAATACCTGAATACGCATTGCTAGTAAGAGCAAGAGCTCCTTGATCTTTGGCCTGAAAATCAATTACCATTATGAGCGCACGTGCCCTATTTTCTCCACAATGCTAAAGATGCCCTTTTTACTGATATTTCCCTTCGAAGTTGTAATTATGATCATTAAATTTTAATGGTCACTTTTGAGTGATTTGACCACAATTATTTAAATCACGGAGAAAATAAAAGGGTTATATCGTTGTTGTCATGAGTAAATGAATACTGTTGCTATCCGTAAAAAGGGAATCATACTTGGGATCCTTTATAGAAATTGAAATTAAGTAGTCTGCACGTATCTAAACCTTAGAAGACCCTCTTTGGGCAGGTTGTAAATGCCTTTCGACACTATTGATGTATTCGAAATCATGTTTGGTGTTGATGTTGAAAATAACGTGAACATTTTAACTAGCTTATGTTGAATAACGTAACGTATTTTTTTAAAAAAATAGCTCTTTGAAGAGATCCAAGGGTAATGTGTCTGATCAGGTACTGAACGTAGATTTACATCATTGGAGGCTTTTAGTCAGTGGCGCACTTTTTCTTCCAGTTTAGTGGTAATTCTATTAGACGAGATGCACAAAAGATTTTAAGTGAGATCACAAAACAAACTCGGTGCTTATTACAGGCCATGATTAGAGGTGATGTAACTGAGGGGACCAAAAAATGACATTCACACTCAACAAATGTGCGGGTGACCGTCTTGGTCTTGCCAATTATGAAGGGTCCTTTCACTGGTCAGTAGATTTAAATCACAGCACGGTGCGGAAGTAGTCGTTAATGTGAGCTTCGTCTGCGCTGACGGAAATTTTTTGGATTAAATGATGGTAGCGAAAATGGCTTGAATGTGAGACATAGAGAACGTCAGCGAGGACTTATTTAGTTTATCCTTCATGTGAAAATTAGTCTTAACTTTTGCACCAGGCACAAAACCTTTGAGCTAGTTGGAAGGCAAGAAATGCATGATCGAAGGTTGTGTAGTCTGTATTTATCATGAACTCATGTTCTTACAGTAAATGATTGGTGTATTTCATGAGTGTTGTAGCGTGTCTGGGTCTAATAGAGGTTCAAGAAAAGATGAAGTCGGTGGAATCAGTCGTTTATTCGAGACTTGTCAAAGCCATGGTGGTATGTAGGGTTTGAGCGTGTATATTTATAGCTCGAATATGAGAGTCATAACTGCGCTAACATCGAGACCTAGGTGTGAGGTTAATCCAAGATAAATGTTTGTGTGGATGAAGTGGGAGTTGAGGATTTGTGGGGCCGGCGCCATGCTGCGAAAAAAGGGGAGCCCTGTGTCGGAGGCGAAGCGATCGGATTGAAGGATGTGAATAAACACAAATCACAACACGATCAACAAGGTTTAGTTGATGGACTGCGTTGACAGCATTTTATTAGAAAATTGTTTAGAGGACTAGATTCCAATACCAGTCTCCTAACTATTGCTATTGTATCCTTGACTGCTTAAACAAAGTCTAGGTCTCCTTCGTAAAGATTGGCTCCCTTGAATTTTCTTACGGTAGACTAGGTGGATTTGACTAATTTACAGTTGCACCCGGACTGAGAAGCAGGTAACACTTCACTACCGTACAATATAAAGCAAAAATAGCGTAATTTTAAAAGTTGTTGCACCCAAAAAAGCTGTTACTTATTTGTAGAGGAGGTTTAATACGATATGCATTGATACAGCATCCAGAAAAAAATAATCAAAGCCACTAAAGCCAAGAACTTGAGACATTTCTTACACACAAAATAAACCGTGAAGTGTTTAATAACTTGCCGCAAACAGTAAATGTTCTTCATATCCATAGTTCATGGGAAAAAAATACTTGACATTTGAACCTTTGAAACCCCACTACAGTATTTAAAACGCCAGATTACTTATTGCAGCAGTCTTTTTACTTGATCTCGAAAGCAGCTGGTATTTGATGATAAATCGTAAAGGCTTGTGCATCGTTTTGAGCTTGCACTGATTAAAAAACCAAACAGGCAAAGGAAAACTGCTCCAATTATTGGCTGGCTAGTTTTGTTTAGGAACCCACGCAAGGCAAGAGAGTCACAGATGCACATCACCTTTAGATAAGCTTGCTTAGGCTAGTTTCTACGAATTAGCCACCACTGGCAGTTCACTTCATCTTCGGGCCTGCTGCTGCTAGGATTTGTCTCAGAAATGATCCTCTAATCTACATAATATTTACGGCGGAAATATTACATGGAAGTTAAGTGGAAGCCTATTAAAAGGCCACACAAGACTTTCGCACAAAGTATGCAGTTCTGCAATTGGAAGCATATTAAATATCAGGTATTTGGTTTCGCTGCGCTGCCATGGTAACAGGGAATGAACCGGCATAGTGAAAGCAGGCTGTGCGCCTAGCAACAAGCGAAACGACCTTCACAAATTCGCTTCATGTGTTAGAACGACCCGAACACAGAGACGATACAAATGTTGAGGAATGCCAACAATTCATCCATCGAACCACTTAAGACAGTCCTGGAAATCAATTCACAAAAAAATCTGCACCCCTTTGATTCAAGCACTCGACAATTTAGAAGAACTCTTCGTGAATATTATACAACAACGGAAGTCTGTGCTCACCGAAACAATAATCAGCACCACCGTGTTAGGAAGCGCGATAGTTGTTCAGAAAATATGGGAGTGTTTTCCCGATCAAACCTGCTCCAAAAAACGGATGCCTGTGGTGTGCCAATGCCTCACAAAAGCCGCATAATTCACAATTTGTCAAGAAAAACTACAAAACAGTCTGTATTGTGGAACAGGAGCTGGGCTGCAGAGACAACACAAGCTATTGTGGACGACCGAAAAGCTCACGCTAAGGATTGCGAAACCCAAACTCTGATAAATCAGCAGGAAACCGAAGGAACTCAGACAATTGCACAACTTATAGAGGCATCGCCATTTAAGTGCCTTACCGGGCCAGTACGTTTAAAATCCAAAATAGAGGAAATAGACGTTTGTGCAAGAACGTGGGGTTGCTACAAGTTGCCGGATGTCAATGATATCTGTGCTGCTATATCTGGCTCAAATCAAGTGATAAACATAATTCGCAGTTGCAATTTAGTCAACCTGCAAATTAGGCTGCCAATGTGTAGGGTACCTCTTAAAATTAACGCTATTGCTTCCTTTTACGAAAGAGTAAGTGATATTTATTTATTTAGTTGTGGTTCACTTGTCTCTTTAAATGAAAAGGTACATCTAGAATTAAATCCACGTAAAAGTAATTGGAGTGTTATAAATAAAGAGGACTGTAAATGTTTGTTTTACAGTCTTCAACTTAGTATGCTAGGAAAATGTTTTTTTACTCTGAAAAAAACCAACCTTGTAAGAGCTTAATTTAGTGAATGTGCTGAATGAAATGTAGTCTACTTTCTGTTAAATCTCCGTGCGTATTGCTTAGATCCAAATCGTCGAGTCTCGGATTATATGCCCCAACAAGAGGAAATTCTGTTAAGGTTCATGCAAAGGGAGGTGGAAATAAAATTCGGTGCGAAATTCATGAATTGATTTTCCTTTATTCTAATTTTACTTAACCTTATCAACATCGGGAAACTTGGAAGAAAATTCAAATTCCATTGAAAACCAATTGTCTTATAACTCATTCCACGACATGCAATGTGCTGCAGACAGATGAATCCGGAACAGATGACAAAGGTAAAACATGAAAGAGTCATTCTTTCTCCCCATATTCTTCAAAATCCTACGTTCTGTTGATTAAGGGTTTGATGGAATGTGAGTTGCTTTTGAGTAACGTACACCATCGAAAAGGTCCTCCTTCTGTGGAATTTTAAGCACTGCAGAAATGAAGGGGGGTATTCAGGAGGGTTAGTGTTGTGATAGACTGCAGAAAATTTAAACAATTGCAATGTTTTTTGTGCAAATTGACCTTTATTGAATCGTAGTGCTCGCAAGGCCACGTCTGGTAGTGTTCCCTTGTGTACACGCGCACACCCACACCTCCCCAGTCGCAAACATCACTCATCTGGCCATGCAGGTATTTGTAAGCTTACTAGTTCGCTCGATATCTATTGGTCAAGAATAGATGTCGATCGCCATATCACCCATGAGAACTTTTGAGGCTTTTAAGCATGTACACAAAACACAACGGAGTTGAGCCATTTGGTAAACGATTGTCACCATCATCTGCGATCTCCTAATCTTCCCTGGTGCCTTTGTAGTTTAATCGATTTAATTCGGACTAGTAGAGGAGTATAAGCCATGAGACTTAGAAGCATTTAAAAAAACTGCCAGGAAACTGTCAAAAACAATGGTGACCATCTTCGGAAAGCAAGTGGCCCGAAACCTACCGAAGAGGTGACAAGTGTGGTGACAGGGGGTGGTTGACGGGAAAAATAGGTGACGGAAAAATGCAGCATTTCAACCCAACCTGCATGTGTTTCATTGTTCCAAGTACACAAGTTTAGTTTATTTTCATACGTAACACCTACCTATGTCATTAGTAAATCACTTGAAACCAGGTGAATCCGAATACCTGCAAATGTGGAACAAAAACACAGTGTATTCGAGTGCCCCGCGACGGAGGGATGCGCATTAACTATTGTCTCCTTGAAACTACCCCCGTAAATAACCTGCCCTAGGTTTCTGTGCTTTAAAAATAACTTGCTTAATTTCAGATACTTTATATCTTAATAGGGCAATGCAAAAATAAGGCCTTCGGGATCAAGCGAAACATTTGGTGCCTTTCTAAAAGATTTTGACGATATAAACCGAGGTTTGGACGAGGTCGAAAGAAGGCTCATTGCTGTGGAATTCACGATAAACAACGACGATTCTCCGGAAGGTAATTTTTGATGTTTTTTCCGTGTTGATTTGCGTTTGTAGCCCATTACAGAAGCCTTGAAAGGCTGATCGTTTGCCCATTACTTAGATTTGCTTTACGTTGTGGTAGGCATCTAGTGATAAGTAAGTTAACTGCCCGAAAAAAGTTTTGCTCAAAGAAGACTCTCTAAGGCTTTTGATTTTCACATTGTTTGGCACCTCACAGCCCAGGTAAGACTGCCCTTGGTGGCAGCCACCTAAGATCACTGCGAATCACATTTGGGCTTTTACTTCGTACCTCTGTATAGCCACTACCAGTTAGGATTAAGCCCTTAAAGTAGTCGTAAATAATTACCTGTCCGAGTGAACGTCTAATTTACCACCTTGTCACACCCTAGATAGGAGTGGAATCTACTTTTGTAGGCTATTTAAGTGCTCAATTCAAATCACATTTGCTTACCAGTCAGACTGCAATTATTATTCAATCACCTTGACACCATATGTGAGTATACGATTATTTTACTGACGACACTTATCGCCCTTAACTCTTCCAGTGGCCTTGGCGCCATTAAGGCCTTGAGTTGGCGAACTCCTACTCTACCTGAGGCTGAAAAATCCGAAGAACATTTTATTCAACTTAGCTAGATGTGAAGCTAACGTTAAAGATGTGTTTGAAATGTGACTAAAAATCAAACTTCTATGTCCCGAGACCTACAGGATTTCTGTTTAACAAATAATTCACTGAACAGAGCGCAATTGAGATCCGAGGTTAGGTGACATTTGTGCTAAGTCTGGCCATATGGCGACTATGCTAATTGCTTGACAGAATACATGTAACAAAAAAAGTTAACTGGATTTAAATTGAAAAGATGACATTTTGATAAACCTCATCACAAGTTATATTTAGTAAAATATTACATTTAACGTAAAACAGGCTATGTGGAAGGTCTGTCTTAGCAAAGAATGGAATTTTAGAAGCCAAATAGTGCAAATTAAAAAAAGTTAATGTATGAGACCTGATTTGTTCTGTAAGCAACATGGTCAAAGCGTATTTAATAGGCCATTCATTAAATTTGCCTATTTCTTTTTAAAAATAGTATTTGTTCTTTGAAAAATGACATTTTTCGAAAATGGGCTGAGTTGCACTTAGGCAAATGTATCTAGGAAAATTTTTGAAGATTATTTAATGACAGTACTTAAAATAACCGTGAGCACTTGTTGTCAGGGTCGATATTATTCGTGTACATTTGTACAATTTTTAGTCCACACTTCTCATCTAACCAAAAAGGATTTTAGACCAAAAAACGTTGCTGCGTTGTTCTAGATTAAAGAATAATTTGGTTAAGTTAAGCCCCTCGTTCTTCTAAATATCTGTAGGCAAAACAAAGACAGATGGATAAACCAACAAACTTATATACAACATCCACATAATGGAAATTGTAGATTCATAAATCGGACTTTGCGTCATTGTCAATGAACACTAGAATGTACCAGATCAACATGATTGAGTACGACTTCCGTAGAATTTCGCCCTAACTTAACTATAAAATTTGTTGTTCAAATCAACGTCCTGTTATTCTAAGAGAGGATGGATGTTTTCAATACAAAACCAGACAGGGAAATTCCAGGTACTTCCGGTGTTCATACCTACTAAATTCCAATTCATTATTCTGGCTGACAGGTCTTTTTCTGATCTAGCCTCCTGACGCTTAAACTACCTTTGCTTACGTCCATGTTTCATAATGCATTTCTCACTCATTTCAAGCAGGCAAAGGGTCAGGTGGCACTATCCTACTATCGATCGTAGTGGAACGGTTCAATTTGTCACCTATTGATCGCCGTCAGCTGTTTTCTGAGGTTGGTCGTGGTTTGATCACCTCAGTTGTTTTTTTCTTTGGTTGGGTTTACGGAAAATTACAGTTATGAATTCAAATCGCGATATTTTTCACCGTTCATACTCCACACATAAGCAACAAATCGGGACAAGTTTGAATGGCATTCACTTTTCTAGAAGGCGGCCCCCAGCCTCTCTCACCACACCACTTGGAGGGATTTACAATAGTGGTCGTAGAGATTCTGTTTATGGGTGCGGAGATGTGCCAGGAAATGGATCTTCATTTACCAGGTGCCACGATGATTTTACAGTTCAGAATTCAAAGTGTACAAATGTGTGCAAGGATGACGGATCTCCACAGTCAACCACCAATCAAATGAAGTCCTCCAATCTTGGCGAAAAGGACGGAAAGTCAGATAAAAGACAAAAACTTCTAGACTGGCTGAAAAAAAGTCAGGCCAAACGAGATGAAAATAATCGCCAAGTGTTTTCCCGGTGGATTGAGAAGATGGATAATTTGAAAGCACAAGAGCGAGACCGAGGCTCTAACCTGACCTTCTATTGCGACCACTTGCCCCCTCCACACATTTTATACTCAGCAATAAATAACTTCCAAAGCGATGCTATTGGTAATCCTACAGTCTATGTTGGTGTTTCCCAGTTCGTGTATCCACCCCATCAGGAATTGATCGACCCTCAGTTTATGCCTAGTACCCACAGCTTTTTGAAAGGGTCCAATCAGTTTACAGAGCTTCATCCCACATCATGTAAAGAGTACTTTTTCCAAAATGATCACAGACCTATCCATAATCCTTGTTGCTATCCCCACGCCTTTACACTAGAATCAGTGAGACAAAATGAGTCTGGTGTGGAGGCGACAGAAGAGATGGTTAGCTACGCACCTAGAGCCACAGATCAGTCCATGACATTTATAAGCCCAGGGACAACAGCCTGCTGTCAGTCAATGCTTTCGTCATCAATGATGAGCTATTCGACACCAACGCAGATGATGCTTCCTGTCCCTTGTATACAATACTGTGCCAGTGATTCCGATGGAGCTAACACTGTTCCTCCCAATGGAGATGGAATTAATGGCGCCATACCACTTGTCGACACAAAATTTCAATCTTTTCCGATGGTCGTGGGGTTTGATCATCAGTTTTGTAAGTGGATTCAGTCAACGTCTAGGCATTTGACGCCAGTTTCCCCACAATACCCCTTCTTACCTCACTCCGACAGGCCTACAAATGGAACCCTTCATACCCCGTGTAACAACACTGGCCTGACATCTGCAGGAAGTGACCCTAGGCTTGCCTATAATCCACAAAAATCGCCTCTCAACTTTGAATTTAACCAATGGAACTCCCTACTAGATGACATCAATACTAAGGCGGCACAACCACAGGAACCTGAGGAAAAAACTACTTACAAGGAAGTAAACCAGTCCAATGATGACACTGGAAAGAATTTCCAATTTTCGGAAGCCGAAGGCGGATCTTTTGTGCAAGAGACATTCAGAGACGGTTAAGGAACCAGACGCGTGTGCTCTTGGGCTTAGATATTTGATCAAATTTGTTTACTGAATTTTGCTCGATTTTCCTATCAGTAAGGTCATTTGTTGCAATGTGACGGATACCTGATTTTGTCTACTAAGAGCCAAACAGACACTGCTCAACCATTTTCCAATGTGGGTATCCCTTGCGTTTTTCTGATAGGCAGAAATTTTCCACACGAAACGTGAAACAATAGTTATAACCAAACATTTTTTTGCATTCGTTTGAAAGTTTAGAAGTTAGTACGTGATCGTATAATGTTTAAGGTGTTTAAAGTTTTTAAAAAATGTTGTTCATTTGTTCTTTGCAGATTCCGCACAAGGAAATTGTTAAATTCCGCAGAATGGCTAATAAAATTGTTCATGTAAAAAAAAGTTGGTCAATAAATGCGTTCAACACATGACACTATAAATATGTACACACGGATATAACCTGTCTCATCACGGGTAGCCACTGGATGTTCAACCGTCTATCTCGTACTTCATCCTACCAGAGACTGCTTGTACTTTTGTTACCAAGACCCCATGAACTTTACCTGAGTGGCTACATCGCCCTGTCTTGCGAACAAAATATTGCCGCTTGAAGCTTGAAGAAAACCAACAGATAAGAAAGAAAAACGTGGTAATTGTGACAGAGGATCTGTCTGATGATGGCAGATCCAGATTTGGCAACTGAGGTAGAGTCGGATATGGGTTGACGGCTTCAGCCTTTGGTCAAAATGGATTGGTGTAGATGGGAGAAAGGACAAAAAAGGAATAGGCTCAAATTCGGGACAGCAGGGTTATTGCTGCCACCAAAGTGTAACATGCGAATCGGACTCCGGTCTAAAATAATGAGAGAATGAGCCGAATGGTGTACAAAAAGTCCAGAGTGGACATGCAGCAGGTAAATCGTTAGGGAAAAGAGTCTAGAATCCACATGATTATATTTTAAAGAGGATTGGAGACAAAGAGAGGAGAAGCAACAAGAAACGAGGCCACTGATTTCGAATCTTTCAGAGTAAGCAATGGCCTTAGAAAATGAGCAGGTCACCAAAGTCGAAACAATGAAGGGTGTTTGCAGGAGGATGGCTTAGTGACCGATATGCGCTACAAAATAATGCATAACTTTACTAAGAATAGGTCTGATTTAATTAAATGTTAGAACTTCATCAATGTGATTGCAGAAGTGCTGGATCTTCTGTTTACAAAAAATGTCTGAATTTTTGGTCTGAGATTAACAGCTCAAAAGTTGTTCAGATGTTCTTGTCCCGTTCAGTCAGGATAAGATTTAGCTAACAAAATACATTGTGTGAACTTTCTCGCCCCAAACAGCCAGGATAAGATTCAGTTATTTAGAAAAAAGTTACAGGGAACTAGCTTAGAAAGCAACCGTAGGTAGGATAACATCAACCTTGAAAGTTGGTTCGTTGATGATAATACCGGCATAAAATAAATACCACGAATTTTTTTGATTTTGACATGAAACTATCACTGAAACGAGTGTTCAGTCACACAATTCTATCAAGATAATCCGATTTGTTAGTCTGTATGTAGAGTCCAAGACTACGAGACAAAACACATAAAGCAAATGAATAATGATTTATTAACTTGTGCTGCAGCATATTGCAACAAATGATGCAGGTCATTATTGGAAAACGCTAAAATTAACTTGTTAATTTCTGGAAGGTGACACTGTAGAGTAACAAATAATTTCGGTCTTTAGCTTTAAAATCGTGATTTTCAACTTTTTGTAAATAAAATTGTACAGCAATTTCAATTACTGGCAACTGTGCTTTAAAAGTGTGGATCAACAGAATTTCAAAAGTGCGATTTGACAAACAGATTATGATTCGATGCTTCAATTTGAACTCAGTTATTCAACTCAAGCTTCATATCTCGAAGTTACGTAGGTAGGGCGAGTTTTTCAGAATGGTAAGGCACGAAAACTCGTGTCTTGCTCAGCATATATATTCAAGAAATTAACCGCGGAAGTGTATGTTACTTGACACTAGACTGCTTTGCTCCGTTAACGTCACGATTAATGTCAAAAGGCTTAATGACAGCTAATAGAACAACGCTTTTTAGGGAACTGGTTCACAACACAATGGCCATTGGCACATTGCAAGTAAAGCATTCCTAGTATTCTGTCGTAAATGCAGTAGAGAAGAATGAACAAGGTCTTTCGCAAACTTTGGGTAGAGGAGAGACTATTACCAGTATCAAAAAGGCCACTATTTATTCAAGAACTAAGTTTTTTTTTGATTATAACAGAGAGTTCACCAATACTTTCAATCCTGTTAATAACTTATTCCTTACGTACGATTTCATGAATTCGACCAACAGTAATATTTTAAGCTCAATTCTATTCTATGCATAATTTTTTTAACACAAATTATTGTTGATAAAGCAGTTTTACATAATTAACATCATAAAACTTGAAGGTCAGCGAGGGGGTAAAATCTATAAAACACACCGAGGTCGCTTGTGGCGCCACTCGTGAACTTGTGTCGATCCGTCTCGGAACGGCCATTTGTGCTGTTTGTGGTTTCGTTTTGAGTAGTAACGTTTTATGATATTGTTTTTTTATTAAAGTATGAAATTTGATGTAACATGTAAACTTTAAGTTTATTCTCTATACTTTGTTCAATGCCACATTGGCCGCTTATTTGTGAGATGTGCCTCAATTTTTAAGTATGTTTGTCATGCTCGTTTGCACATGCTGGGCTGTCTTAGCCGTCCTGGCTTCACTATGCTGGGCTGTCTTCGCCGTCCTGGCTTCTTGACTGATGTTGGCTACGCTGCACCTATTAATCATTTTTCCCACAATCAACTGCTTTGAAAATTTGCATTTTTTACAGCCATTTACCTATACATTGCTTGTATGCTTGTTCATGTACTATAATAGATGAACAATTGCTATATTAAAGCCAATTTTTGTCGCTTAGTGCACTGTTTTTGTAATACTAGGGTTAGATACCAGCAAATATCTAGACTTGGAATCCATCAATTTTATGATCTTAGTGCGGCGCAATAGCTCTACTCCATCATTCACATTTTTAAATGGGTCATCGAATCGTATATGGTCTCAGTCTGACCACAAATGATTAAGGAAGTTGTCCAACAAGTCTTAAAACCTGGTACCAAACCTTCATTTTTCCTGCGGACATACTTTTCCTTTATTACACCTCACTGTAAGTTCCCACACTTTTTGTAGGATTCAGTGATGTCTAAATTCACCTAACCGCCATAAACATTATTGTCCACCCTGATTTGCTTCGTTGAGGTCTATTTCATGGTGGTCTATGCTCTTTTTATTTATTTTAGGTTAGGAAGCACTACCTCAATTACAATGACTCAACCAACGAGATTAGATGGTGAATTAAATGGTTCTGCTTACGACGGTGATTTATGTAATGTTGCACTTGGCGAAGAGGTCCCGTGTCTTGATGCGGTTTCGCCCAACCTTTCAGAAGAAGTTAACACTCTTAAATCGTGTATTTTGAACAAACTTAGACGACACTGCGCAAAGTCTCTAATGGGTGCCTGGACAAATACACAAAATATTGACATCGAGGAAGTTGGGTAGGTTTATCGTGTCCTTTTATTTGTCTTGGTCTTCATGAATGTTTCGTGTTATAATTTGTGAAATCTATTAAAACTCGAATTTTCCCTCAGAGCATTTAATAAAGGGTGCGTCCACCCGCTTGTGCGGAAGTGTATTGGTGAGTTGGGCTTTTGATTTATTAGGGGCTTTCCTAATTCAAATATTACTCTGAAATGTTTTTTTTTTAAATTTTAGAACTGATTCATATCAATGCACTTAATGTTTCTCTGTTTTAATGTTTTTGTTAATGCTTGTTCATAATATTAGGCTTTCCAACTTAGCTGGCCCATAAGAATATTGAGTAAACTGGATTATCCATTTAATTAAAATATGCCCCCACTTTGATGTGAAGAGCGTAGCTGAATGAGATCTGGCCATTCCTTTTCAAACGCGTTAATATTTTTCTGCTTTCAGTAATTAGCAAACGTTATAAAACATAAATACCTAGTCTCTAAATTAAGCCGTTTGGCATGGAAACACTAACGTCTGGTTGTACACTGCAAATTAACGGGCATGCAGAAACTGTTTATTTGGTGCCATTTTTTCGAATGCCACTTGATTCCCAGAAATAAGTGTCTTGCTTTTTATTCGCATGGGTATTTTCCGTCTAAACCACACAGGCTTTCATTTTCGGTATAAACCTATTTAGTCTACACTTTTAAAAGCTCATCATAAATTGGTGCCAATGGTAATTCCATTCACCTCAGTTATTCACAATCTCTCCTGCTTTGTCTCCCGTGACTCGTTGATTTGTTCCTACGTCTCTTGATAAGCCCCGTGTTGTATAAAAGAACCAAATATTCCCTACACGTGTTTATTCTCGATACGTTTTAGAGGAGGCCTTAGTAATTATTTGTACGTTGCCAGCCTGAAGCCTGGCACTCCAGTAGACAGCAACTCAACTCCCCGAAAAGTATTTGTCCGCGTCTACGGTGAACTTCTTCGGAGCAACATCAACTCTGTTGTTCTTGATGCCGTTATATTCGCTCTCCTTTCAGAAAAGCGTCTTGGCCCAAAGCTCTACGGCGTGTTTCCTGGTGGACGTATTGAGGAATTTGTTGAGGTTAGCCTTTCTTCTAGTTTATGCGATCACACAACTTCATCTAAGGTATTTAATTGAAAAAGGCGTCATTGACCTGGATGACAACATTGAAAACTGATTCCTGGTTTTGAGTGATCTTTAGTTGTCACGACGGCTGTACAAAAGCTAGAGGGGGAGGGTTAAGGATGTGTGGTTTGGTTTTTTGAATCTTTTTAGGGCGCTTTAAGTAGAAACGGTCAGTGCATATACAACTTTCTGTATGTTTTTGTACATGGTTTTTGGTTGTCTCGAATGGGTGGTGTGGCGGTGCATTTCCTAACAATGATTTGTGAAAAAAATGTTTTCAAATTGTTAAAGGTCAGGCAAAAATGATTTTTTGAATGATTTGAATAACGCGGCAGAGCGGATAAAAGTCATGCCAAACGGCTATTTCAATTTCGAGAACAAACAGGAGTGTTACTTCGTATTAATGTTAGGTATCACTCAAACATACTAAGATAGAAGCTGTCACTCTGCAATTTTAAATAAGGTTCTGCTTGTATTTAATTCTAAGGGAAACTTCCAAATCTAGTTTGTCACCTTGCTGTTGACCTATTGTTCCTGCAGGTGTCGACACAGTTGCCTGTTTTTCAACTATTTTCGTTCCGTTGGGACCTTTCCATTATTTCTACATTTGTTTTAGAGGAGAAAATTCAAAGTTCGTAAATCATCCCATCTATGTGTATTCACTCAAGATCATATTACATTAATTAAGAACATATAAAGGCGGTCCTTAAATTGTCACATAAGGTCAAATAAGGTCATTAAAATTTCCTTCCTGTCTGAAAGTGCTAAGCGCTTTGCCTATTCTGAATTTGTCTGCTCCATGGTATAATTTCCTTTGTGAATCACAACTCAAAAGCCACTCAGATTGTGTAAAACTCCGAGTTTATGAAAAAAAGGAATTATTGCTAAATTTTATTGCTGTTGGAGAAAGAGATGGAGTGCCGAGGTGGTTTTTGTAAGATATTTGTCTGTGCTTTCTTAATGCTGCTTCATTTTTTAGTAGTCATAAAGGAAAATTAAAATTCAACGAAGTATTGTTGAACAAATCGAAACCGTCTTTGCACTATTCCCGGTTTCTGTCATGGAAACGGACTATTGACTCGCGAACTTTTTGAATTTATGGAATTATAGTCTACGGGTGAGAACGCCTTCTGAACACTGAGCCAATTGCTTGTTTTCACGTCTAATCGCTCCATTTAAAACACTAATTTCGAGCGTTTGAATTCGCCTATTCGTCTACATAAGTGTCACACGAGTTATGGAGGCGTAGATCTTAGTTACTCTACTTCCATTAATCAAAGTCGACAGTGACTCAAAGTGTAGCATGATAAGTCACCGTAAGTTTGACCAAAGCCATAACAGTCTATTCCCGCCGTGCCACCCCTTTTGTCAAGTTGCCTAGCTTTTGGGCAAGCTTGTTAAACAAGGTAATGCTGCAGTACTACTTTCCGCGTCAGCTCTTATGGTAACTGAATTGAGTTTAGTGTGAAATGGGCTCAATTTCGTGAAGTCTAATGATTTAAATTATTTTAGAGATAAGTTATTTTCCTTTTAAAGACACACTTTTTAATCATGAGTTACTTCATAAGCACCAGCTCGATAAGGATTTTGTCCGCAACAAGATTTTTTAGCACCACGACATATGGCTAACTGTACTCTTCTAAAACTGTTTTTATTGGTTTTTTGGTCTTGCCCGGGTCACATGCCACCAGTGAATGCTGCATTTTGTGCTTGTCTTTATGTGGTCAAGTTGGTGCGGTCTCATTTGCCGACATTTCGGTTGGGAAGTGGGCATGGTTTGGAAATCCAATCCACAGCACATTTCCCACAGATGGAAGGTATTAGGCGTTAAAAATGGCTATGACATATTCAAATCAGCCAACTCCGGAAGATTGCGTTTGGCAAAATCTAATTCTTAAAATTATGCTAAATTAGGCTTGTTAGTTACTACTTCGCTACTCGGATAAGCTTAAAGACGACTTATTTTTAAATGGGCGTGTGCGCTGTCCTGACACGGCTTTTTGCCTTCCTTTTTGCATAGTGCTAGTGTCCAACACTGCGGCAAGTGTTTGTTTTGATTTTTTTTAAGGTCTGAGGAATGCAGTCTCGCTGTAGTGTTTATTTGTCTTCCCCTTGGACACGAATTATGCCAACTATGCGTTTTTAGTGAACTAAACAGAGTATTTTTAATTCACTTTAGTACCAAGCCAGGCTACTGAGTGCGCCAGGTATACTTATTGTCGTGAACTGGCTTCATGCGATTGTATATTAATAGCCTCGCTGCCCATGGAAGCCGATTTCGCCTTTTACGAACACTTAAACGTCTAGTTTGGTTTGCTTTCACCCAAGTGTTCGCTTTTCCTGTGCCATATTGCTTGTGGTTCTGTGGTAGCATTTATGGTCTTCGCTAAATGGCCGTAACCCTGGGCTCGTTTACTCCAAGGAACTGAAGCTACAATATAAGAAGATCGGGATTGTTCCCCGTAGCCTCATATTAGTTTATTTAAGGTTATCTCTGACTTCTGCCACGTTAAGTTCGGTTTTTGTTCTAAGTACGATAAACAGCATGATAGTGTTGACAGTCTTCGTTTAGTTTTGCCCATTGAGAATTTAATCGAATTTCTTTGGTAATCTATTGGTCAATAGAATTTCTCACGTGTAAAGAAGCTGGAGACAGTCGAATTAGAATTCAAGAAAAAATAATGTGATCCCACGAAATCCACGAATAGTTTTGGTTCACTAGGAAGTTACCAAAGGTAAGCTAACTGTCATCTAGTTGGTGCACAAGTTCCCAGAAAGGTTTTACCTTTACGATGAAGCGTCCACATCACAGATATGACATTTCAAAGTTGTCGAAACTGCTCCCAGCAGTTTCTGCCAGCTGTTTTGCTGTATCTACTCCCTGGATTCCAAACCTTGTAACATCCCCGTCTCCATTCCAATGAGGTCTTTTTTCAAACCTTGTTTCGTTCGATTTTAATCGAATGTACGCCCATTTTGACACACCGGCGTCACCTCGAAATAAATTTCTGTCTATTTTGTATTTGTGAGTCATTAACTACATAATTCTGAAAGTAAGTCAAATAAAATGTCTGCTATGATTAGATTTGTAAAACCTCTCGACATTGGAAAGATAATGAGTTGTTTCAATACAAGCAATTTGTGGCTTTGTGGCTTACTGTTTTCAATTTGCCTTTTCGTAACAGTGTGATTTCTCGATGAAGCGCAACTGTGCTTGTTGTAATCTAATATGCTGATATTCGAAGTGTTGCTGTTACGAATACTTACGGGTTACATCATCCGGCCTCTTGATAATTACCAAAGTTCTTAGGTTTTTAGTTTATTAACAGTTCCGAAAATGTTGACGATTCTTCCCAGGGTATATCTGCAAATTTGTGTTTTACTTCAGGATCATAAGGTTACTTAGTCCAGAGATAGTCCTTTGCAGGGAGTATCGTGTTTTGTTGGTATTATCGATCCACGAAAATGCATCATTGCTGATGGTCGGGTTTTTCGGGCGTAGTAGCTTCTTCTTGCTGCGATTTGAGCCAAAATTCGTGCAAGAAATAAACATGTCCAACAGAATGCTAACCTAAGCCATACGAAATCAACCACCATTTTTTTTCAAGGGACGTTGTTGAACAATGAAACTTGACGATGATATCCTCGTAACTCAGCTTTAGTGTTCCCTAAAAATCTTTGGAAGAGTGATTTTGAAGTGCGGAATCCTGTTATTTTTATAACTTGGAGCCTTTGCGTAAAATTCCTAAATTTCGCTTTATGAATTGACTAATTCTGTTTCTTTTGACCACTTTTCCTCAGAAGTTACTCTTAATAACACAACTATTTCCCCTAAAAATGTAGGTTATTTTGCTAGTGCTAAAACGATAAATTCAAGGTTACGATCGTGTCTAGTGTAGATCAATTTGCTTTCTAATGCGCGTACTTTCGAGGTTTTAGAAAAATTATGCTTGCTTGGAACTTATGTGCTTATAGTTAGGAACGGAGGCGTTATAATGACACTCCCAAGCACTAAAGTGACAGGTTCAGTCATTCGCTGTAAATTCGATGACACAAGCACACACGCACTCTGTTGGCTACTTTGACAAAAACAATGTGAAGCCGGCTCGGTGTGTCTAGGGGCCATCCAATGCAGTAATTACGAAACTTGAACAAGAAAGTAACGTTTTAGTGAATTCTTGGATGGATTTTAATATACTTAGATATCACATTGTCTGCTTCTCTAATCCGCTACAAAACTGTTTTACAAAGTTCTGGTTAATATCCGGTTCTGTGCGGTGGTCTTTTAAACTGAACTGAATGCTAAAAGACAGGATGAGTGAGGTTTTATTGGAACTGGAGCATTCTTTTGAAAATGGTAGAGTTACCACTTTTTATTTTACCCGGTTTAAAACTTTGTATCTTTCCCATTTTAATACGAATGTTGGTGGATGCGGTTGCCTCTAAACGTACAATCAATTAACATTTCGAGATGATATTTGACTGGCTCTTTTTGAGTGATCGACTTTGATTCATTTTAAGTCTGGTCAAGGGGCCGTTTTTAAAGCTGGCAGTTCGAAATGCGACTGCAAATAAAGTGGTCGGTTATATTTGCGTTAAAATGATAATCAAACCGGTACGATAAGTAATTGCCATGGCAGATGCAATAATTATGCAAAACCAACCCCAAAACCACTGAGCACTTTTAACCCAGTTTTCTTCTGTATTGACCTTCAATTTATTGCCTGAATACTTGTCTTTAATGTGTTATATTTAATGCACCAAGACGTGTTAACGGTATTAAAACTCAATGGAGTCGCGTTGTAAACGAAATAACATTTTTGCCCCCATCAGTTCATCATCAAGGCGTCTACACAAAAAGTGCACATTTTCTCGATGCAGTCCAATTGCCTCCTCGCGTCTTTCTCCCCACCTAGGTGTACGGTCCATCGTCGTTTAATAAAGCTCCTGTGGGTTGTCTTGAGCCAAACCGATATGGCTCCCAAGTTAATTCAGGCTGAAAGAAACGGTACAGCGGAGTTCTACACATACCCCTAGTTTACTTTTCAGGAAAATGGAGTTCTGTTCAACTAATGCTGTGTAGCATAATTTGGTGGTTCACTCCGTTTTTACGTTCCGCGCAACACATTGCATTGTCTCGCTTGCACAAGGTGTGATCTGTCGGTGGTGCTGACAAAAAGGCCAGATTAGAACATGCGTGGGGCATACTGAATTAAGCACAGAAACTGTGATTACCGTTCATGGCTGCTTCTGTTTTCAAACGTAGCCGCTCCGAAGTTTGCTTCCAATGGATGCAACTGTAGAGCACAGTTAATGCGACGTAGCGCGACGTGGTCTCTGGCTCAAGGTGGTTTTTTACCCAAATTTTATTCTGGCATGCTGTTATGTGTGGCAGTGTGTGCGAGTAATGTGTGTCGAGTATTCAAAGAGTAAATATCACCGAACGCTTCAAACATAGTTAGTTGGAAACTCGCAGAATCTTACGATAACATATCACCTTAGCTTGTTGATTGCTAATAGCTCTTTTCCTTTGACATAGGACGTCTGTGTTCATCTATGGAGCCTTGACGGCAGAATGTCTATTTTGTTCTAAATGTTTTGCATGTAACTGCTAGTTCTTTGGACAGTGCAATCCTTTC